GGTCTCCAGAGAGCAATTTATTTGAAAAATTAAGCACCATTATAGATATGGTTGAAATTGGAGTAAATCTGACTTCATTGGCATATCCCTATATTTAGGAATAATTATCAAATCATTCAAATAACTGCACCAACTAGAAATCGATGTCTTAAAATATTATTCTTAGTGTGAGTCTCTGTAGAAAGCAAGGGTTTAAATAGTCTAAAATATTTTCAAAGGTGAACGTGTCATTTTTCATCACTGGTAATTAAATTGGACTTTTTACATTTAGGCTGAAGTGAGATGCATGTAAACTTGCTCTGTAAGTTGAAGAGTGACATAAATGTAGTCTGTTGTTGTTATTCCTGTTGTTGTTATTCCTCACAGGCCTCAGCATATGCTTGGCATGGTTAATCAATATTTGCTTTTGTTGGATGGGGCCATCACTTCACATCACAAGACCAAAACAGACTCCCTACAGATATTCCTGCCAATGTGTCCTGCTTATAATTATTTCCTTAAGTGGTTTTAGCTATTACCTCATCTCTTGCTCTGCTCTGTAATGTCCTCCAGCTTCCTCTCTGAAGGGAGCCTGTTCTACATGCTGCTGACTCATCAGTAACGGAGAGACATATGTGGCTTGTGTTGTATTTGCCTACATATGACTCAAGGCCTATTCTTAGGTCATTTCAGAGCTTGCCTGAGTCCTCAAAGGCAGGCATTGGTCCTTAAATTCCTTCTGTAGCTTTCTGAGCACAGTGCCAGACATGCCATTGGAATAAATGTTTATTTATTGCTGAATAAATGTATCAAGAAAGCCAACCCTGCCTTCACCCACGTAGATTCTTTTATTTTTTCACCTAGAGACAACAGGTGTTTTCTCCCTGGGTTTTATAACAAAGAAGCAAAATAGCCTTTGAGAAAAGTGCAAATAAAGCAACTGTGAATACAAAGATATATGTCATAATACATCCTTTTGGGCATTAATTACATCTTTTCCAAGAAATGTTGGCCCTTGGCTTAAGCTCAGTTTGGTGTTTTCTAAACCATACCAGAATCAGTTTTTCTTATCCCAGAGTAAATAGGATCAGGGGTAGCATGAGTAAATTAAGTCTCTAAATAATGGGGGGGGGCTAATTTTAGCCCCAAATCCCTACCCTTTTCCTAATGTTTCAGGAGAGCCATTACAAAGATTAACACTGGGCTTCCCTGGTGGCACAGTGGTTGAGAGTTCGCCTGCCGATGCAGGGGACACGGGTTTGTGGCCCGGTCCGGGAAGATCCCACATGCCGTGGAGTGGTTGGCCCCGTGAGCCATGGCCCCTGAGCCTGCGCGTCCGGAGCCTGTGCTCCGCAACAGTGAGAGGCCCGTGTACCACAAAAAAAAAAAAAAAAAAGACCAAAAAAAAAAAAAAAAAAAAAAAGAAGATTAACACTAACTGGATGGAGTTTTACTCTTCTCTCTCCCCATTATTACCTGATGGAAATCCTAATGAGAAATCTAACCTCATCATTAGTCTCCACACACTCACACCCTAAACAGGAAGTAGTGGGCTACCAAGAATCAACTCCTTCATAGTCCTCTTTTACATAACGCTTTCCTAAAACAAGTAAGAGACTGGGTAGCACCCATTCCTAGGGATATTTGCAGAGCGATATAAGGTGTTGTCCTAAACAATGAGCATACTGCCTCAGTGAGTCAGTTGACCTAGATAGATATGGCTTGCTCTGTTCTGGGGAAGGATGGTCATCACATGTGGGTTGCTCCCAGAGGAGATGATCCAGGCACACTGAGCTGTAGTCCTTTGTGCTGCCCAATTCCTAGCTCTCTATCTCAGGCCACAGGACCACTCTTTTCCTGCTTAGCTGTCTTTCAGAAGTTTACCACTCATCCTCCACCTCACATCCATTAGGATGGCCACCATAAAAACAAAACAAAACAAAAAAATCACCAGAAAATAAAAGTGTTGGTGAGGATATGGAGAAACTGGAACTTCTGCACACTCTTGGTGGGAATGTAAAAGGGTGAAACCACTACGGAAAACACTGGTTTCTCAAAAACTTAAAAATAGAATTATCATACGATCTAGAAATTCCACTTCTAGGAATATTCCCCCTGCCCAAATTGAATATTTTTTAGTCTTGAGATATTTGTTCAGAGCAGCATTATTTACAATAGCCAAAATGTGGAAGCAACACAAGTGTCCATAGGCAAACAGATGGATAAACAAAATGTGGTATATACATTCAATGGGCTATCACTCAGCCTGAAAAAGGAAGGAAATTCTGACGCTCGTTACAGCATATATGAAGCTTGAGGACATTATGTTAAGCGAAATAAGCTGGTAGCAAAAGAACAAATGCTGCATGATTCCACTTATCTGAAGTACCTAGATTAGTCAAACGCATAGAGACAGAAAGTAAAATGGTGGTTGCCAGGGGCTGAAGAGGGAGGGGGAATGGGGAGTTACTATTTAATGAGTTTAGAGTTTCAATTTTGCAAGATGAAAAGAGTTCTGGAAATGGATGGTGGTGATGTGGTAGCACAATGATATGAATGCACTTAATGCCACTGAACTGTACACTTAAAAATGCTACAATGGTAAATTTTATGTTATGTATATTTTACTATAATTTTAAAAAGATATTAAAAAAAGTTTACCACTCATTCAAAGTGGGCCTAGGGTTGATTGGAAACATCAAGGCAGCATGACTGGCCAGCAAAAGCGACACATATATTACCAATTCCCCGTTTCCATACCCATGACAAACATTATTAATTAATTATCGCAACATTCTTTCCTCCTGAGTCCAGATGCAACCTCATAACCTTTCCCAATATAGGCTACCACCAAACAATTAGAGTTCATATGTCAGTAATGTCAATATAGGAGAAAATTGTGGTGGTCTATGAAATCCATCCTAGAGAGAAGAGGGGTGTAATAATCTAAAACTTCATGAGATAGGAAAAATCGACATGAAGTTGATATATTAAAAAATTTCTTTTTCGGCCCTGTGTCAAAAAGTCCCAATAACTGGAATACAAGCAGTACCTTTGGCTAACATCACCACTCACTTGAACTCATGTAACTCAGGTTGGATTTTCTATATTTTCTACATAAAGGAACCGGAACTCTTTGAAGGAGAATTGATTTCAAGTTTTTCTTTTTTTGGGGGGACAGGAAAATTCAGAGTAGGTCTAGAACAGCCTGTTTAGGAGTTTGGGATTAACAGATACACACTGCTATATATAAATAAACAACATGGACCTACTGTATAGCACAGGGAACTATATTCAATATCTTGTAATAACCTATAATGGAAAAGGATCTGAAAAAATATATATATATTTTGCTGTATACCGAAAACTAATACAACATTTTTCTATAGTTCAATTAAAAAAAAAATAGCCTGTTGTTGCCAGAGAGCATAGATGCTTTAAAAACCACTGGGTACAGGGCAAAAAGGACAAAGGAGAAACTTGGAGGCAGGGTTACTGCCCAAGCTACACCAATTTAAACAGAAAAATCATCATCGTCGTCATTACCATCATTAACTGGAACAACTTACATAAATGGAGAAATTTAATATAAAGTGTTAACAAAGAGAGTAGTAATATAAGAGAGAAATAGTTTGTACTTTTATTGCTGTTATTAAGTTACAAGGTATTAAATACATAGCTAGCTTCTTTCTTTTCTACTTAATACATAGACACTGTTAAGCATGGGTCTATTATCAAGTATGAATGTGAACCTGTTTCTATCTGTGTGAGCAAGAGAGACTGGGAACTTGTATGAGGGCCAAGCAGTCTCTTCAAAATTAAGAGCTATACCATGAACATGATCAGCTTTTGTGGTCTCCTATCATATTACAGCAAGGAATAAGGGAAGTCCCTCAGTTCATTGCCACTAATGATTATATGTAATAAACAATGAAAAGGGAGCCCAATGGTGTACTTCCAGATGATAAATTAGCTGAACGTCACACTTGCTACCCTCTCTCCCAAGAGAGCAATGATCCATTCCCTCAGCTTCCAGGGAAGGAAACCTCAAAATGACCCTACTAATGAGATACAGAAAAAGATATAAATAGGGTTCCAGTTATACCAAAGAGTTCAATATATCACGACAAAAAATAAAGTAGGTTTAAGCCATCTGTTCACAGCTTCTGGTAAAGACACTGAGTTTCAGAAAAAATATCTATCTGAGATACAGACATAAATTTTCTATGATGTAACCAGCACACTTTGTAATTAAAGGGGCTTGAAATATTGGACTATGCAACCAGATCCCACAACCTGACCTGAAATCAGAGGGTTAATGACTTTGAACTTGCAACTATATAGGGTCTTTTTCTTTGGGTATAGTCAAGTTTCTCAAACCTTGGAAGATGTGAATTTATATCATATAGACTTACTAGAGCTGAGTAAAAATTTGGCCCCAGGAATGTGTAAGAATAAGGATAAAAACAAGTTTTATAATTACTGGGCTAGTTTAGTGTGTGCTTTTTTGCTTTTTTAAGGTATTTAGGTTATTTAAGGAAATGTAATATATTTGATTTATGATTTTTAATCAAGTCTTTGAAAGTGTCAGATTGCAATCAGTATAAATGATTAAGAAAATTTGCTTTGTTAAATCCATAAATTTTGATGACTTTGTTAAATAAGTAGTATGTGACTATTAAGAGTGTCAATTATGTTTAAATGAATATTGCTTAATAAATTCATAAGATCATAAATTGGACATTGAACGATGCACAAATGGTCATGAGTGTTCCTCCCAAAGTGCAAAAGCACATTGGACGTTAAAGTCCATCAAAATATGAAACCAGTTTGCCATTCCAGGAGACTCAAGACCATTAAAAAAAATTGCTATTCAAATAAATGTACCACGTGCTGAATCTTCTGTATACAGATGATGTTAATTTCTCCGATTTGGTGGGGCTTGACTTGTGGATGACCCTTCAAGTGAAAGATTTTGCTTCCCCAATTTCATTGTCAACGTAGAGCTGTCAATTCCATACCTTTTGGCTCATCTGTCTTTCCTCTTGGGTTGGAGTCATCATCTTTTGTGGAATCCTTCAAGGTTCCATATTCCTTTTCCATCTTAGCAGCTTCTTCCTTGGTACTGTCTGTTTCTTCATGACTCTTCTCTGATGGCACTGTAATCAGATTGTGCACTATTATAACCCTATTTCCTATCTATTAATTAATTCCTAGTGTAGAAATGAATTTTATTAAAAAGGTGTAGTTTGAGGTCAGATCATTTTTTGAGCTGAAAGAGATCTTAGTGATTATCTAGTGTGACTCCTCCCTCCCCACCATTTCACAGAAGAGGAAACTGAGGCCCAAAGCGCGGAGAGATGTGCCAAAGGCCACCTGTTGAGTTAGCAGAAGAGCTGGGCCAACACCCTCCACCCCCAGCTTTCTGGATTCTGGCTGTGTTTTTTCTGTTCTGCCACACTGTGTTATTAGAGTGTAGCTTATTCTCCTTATTTTAATCAATGTTGGCATTCAAGTGGGATAGGTCAGTTTCCAAAGTAAATTTGAGTCTTGATTCCAAATGAAAATAACTCTGTAGTTGCCCCATCTCTCCTTGATGTTGTTTTTGAAGAACAGTCTGTTACTCAGAGTAGCACCTAAGGGTTTGGGGCTATGGCTGGACTTCTCTCCTGCCTCTTTCTTCATACTCTCTTATCCCTGGTCACCCTAATGCAAAGAAGAGTATTGGACCCTTGCTGTCAATAATAATGCTTGCTCACTTCTCACTTAAAAATAACTATACTTCCTTCTAGAAATCCTATATTGAATTAAAGAATCATAAAACTTGAAGTAGGTAACCCCTTGAAAACAATGGTAATGCATCCCTGTAGTCAGTAAAATAGGGAATGCCAAGCAGTCTAATGATAAGCTTTTTTCTTTTTTCAGTAAAAGGTGTATTACTACAGAAAAATAGGAAAAAAGAAAAATCAGTTATTGTCTCCTTAAACATCCACTACTAGTGTTGTAGTATATATATATATACTTTTTTGATGCATTTTTTTCATACTTGTGGCACAATTTTCTTCCTTGCTTTTGTCATTAGCATAATTATGGAAGAATGTTTCCATGTTATTAAAAACTGCTTGAAAACATCATTTTAAAGGGCTGTATATTCTATCAAATACAGGTACATAATTTCTGTGATAGGGACACAAAATTAAAGTATAAGAGTTTGTGATCTTGGGCTTCCCTGTTGGCGCAGTGGTTGAGAGTCCGCCTGCCGATGCAGGGGACACGGGTTCGTGCCCTGGTCCGGGAAGATCCCACATGCCGCGGAGTGGCTGGGCCCGTGAGCCATGGCCGCTGAGCCTGCGTGTCCGGAGCCTGTGCTCCGCAACGGGAGAGGCCACAGCAGTGAGAGGTCCGCGTACCACAAAAAAAAAAAAAAAAAAAAAAAAAAAAAAAGAGTTTGTGATCTTTTCTCTTTTTGTGCCTTCCTCATCCCTGAAATTCTCCTTTGCACTGCTCTGCTCCGTGGTGTTCGCCATGCTAAGCAGGGTGATGGGTAGAGATGCAGAAGTGAAGAAACCAAGAGAAGGGCATAAATCATACCACACGGGGGTACAGACTGTCCCAGAGGAGAAAGAAGAGCTGGGAGGGGAGAGTATGGGAGGGAGCAGCAGTGGGGGATGGAGGGTAAGGGACAGTGGTGATCTGGGGAGAGAAAAAGATACCTAAAGGAGAATTTTAGGAAGGATTGCTCAACTTGGGATATAGCTCTCACCTTTGCCCACCAGCCACTGCTTCAGTAAAGTCCTCATCTCTTTTCAGTGCTTCTTGGGATTAAATTTCTGTGCTGACTGGCCAAGGTTATAGCTACTTAATCCCATGGTTGGATTTCAGGTTTTCAAACTTTTTGAAATCTGTAATTCTTTATCAATGTTTATTGAAGTTCATGGTTTACCACTCAAAAGGGTTATTTTGCCAAAAGCTGGGGGAAAAATACTAAAATAAACCATACCTGGGAAAAGCTTGCTCTTATTGTCAGTAACATTTTTTTCTAGCTTGTTCTTGGTCTGAAGAGCAATTGTTTCATCCAAGTTTTCTGGAGGGGGGGAGAAGAAGAAATAAAATTTTATGTCCTAAAAGACGGTTTCAAAGTTTTCCTAAAAATGTTTAAATCTCACCAGAAATAGCACAACAGCAATTCCACAATATTAGCACTGCTAGTAAGGGGCTTTGATATGGATTATATTTCATTGACTCTCAAGATGGAAAGGCATACAATTTGAGATCCTCAAGTTCAGCTTCCTACTCAGTTAACTGCAGAAGTCCCTTCCACATTTCTGTGACTACTGTGATTGAGGCCTATAATGGACAACTGTGGTTTTGGCCTACTCGACGCCTTCTGGTAACTACACCTTGATTTTCCTTTGGAGAACCCAGACCTCTCCCACTCTCAGCATATTTGCTCCACTGGTGGCTGAATAACCCAGGCCTGGCTGCTCCAGCCCTCAGGCTATGGTGATTGGTTCAAGGAGGAGTACATGACTCAAGCCAGGCCAGTGAGATTCAATGCTAAGAGAAAGAGGCTCTCTTTCCACTAGGATTGCTATACTGTGTGGATGTGAGATTGGAGCTGTACCAGCCATCTTGTTTCCAGAATGGGGCAGTTTATCTGGAATCAATCAACATACAAAAAGTGAGTGAGATGGGGAGGGATAGATTCCTCACACTGTGGTGGGCTTCACAGACCTGAAGCCAGACTACCCCCACCCCTGGACTTTTCAGTTACATGAGGAAATAAATTCCCCTGTCGCTTAAGCCAAACAGTTGGATTTCTGTCATTCAGGGCTCTCACTAATTCACGAGGCAGCCTGTTCTATTGTTAGTCTTAAAAAATATTTTTTTCACTAAGATAGAACATTGTGTAAGTTTAAGGTATAGTACAACATACTGATTTGATACATTTATATTCTGCAAAATGATTACCACGGTTAGCTAACACCTCCATCATGTTAGATGTCTTAAGGGCGAGAATTTCTCTATTCATATTAAGCTGAAATCTGTATTCTTGTCTTTGTCCTAATTCTGCTCTTTGGAGTAACATCTTGTAGGTGTTACCAGATAGGAATCTAGACTGTGACCACCTCAAGGCAGTCAATGAATTAGAATCCACAACCCTGGTATTCAGTTATTTAACCAGTCACATATCCATCCTACTAATAGGACAGGGCTATTTGCAAACAAGCAGTTCTTTGCAATTAGTCTATAAAGAGTCCATTATTACTTTGTATTACTTCTCCCCAAGAAAATTCTGCCTTCTCCTTCCCCATCCCTTTTTGAGAAGAAAATCAGTATATCCTATTGTGTGACACATTCTGCTTTCTTCTTTGAAATAGCGACCACAGCTGGCAAACTTTGTAGTCACCGTACATTGTTGGGACCAGAACAGAAGGGTAGATCAGTGATCACTGTCACATGCTGGGATGGAGGAGGTTAGTTAATCCTCTCTCTTCTACCCATGCTGCCCCTGAGCCCTCGAGGGTCTGAGGGTGTACCTTCATGGCAGCGACAGTCAAAAGCCAACATGCTTGTAAAGAAAAATTCTCTACATACAACTCATTTTCTGATTGTAAAAGTTATATACGAAAATGAACAGAAAATTATAAGGAAAAAAATAACACTTACTGTGCCCAGATAGTGTTTTGGTATATTTCTTTCTAACTTTTTTTTTTTTCCAACTTTCTTTCTTTATGCATATCCATTTTTTAACACCAAAATTAAGGTCATATTCTAAGTGGCTTTAAGCATTCAATAATATATCATGGACATTTTCCCCATCATTAGTCTTTATAAACAATATTTATTTATTGTTTATAAACACTATAATTATTAAAAGTTGTTTATAAAATATTGTTTATAAACAATATTTAAAACATAATTTATAAACATACAATTATTAAAAACGCAAACATTAAAAAATAAAATTTAGTCTAAATAAGAACTAATAATTTATATAGTCTCCTCTTGTGGGGTAGCAAGTTTATTTCTATTGTTTTGTTTCTATAAGCCAGTGCTGTCCAACAGAACTTTCTGCAACGATGGAAATACTCATTTCTGTGCTGTTCAGTATGGTAGCCACAAGCTACCTGTGGCAAGTGAGTGCTTGAAATATGCCTAGAGCAACTGAGAAACCAGATTTTTTATTTTGCTTAATTTTAATTACTGTTAATTTAAATAGCAACATGTGACTATCACACTGGACAGCACAGCTATAAATAATAGTGGAAATACCTGGTTTGCACACAAGCCTTTGCGGCATCTCTAATTTATTTCCATAGAATAAATGACTTAAGTGCGAAATATGGGTCACAGGGTATTGATATGAAACAAGGATTGATTTGAAACAATGTTTTAGATCTACTGTTAAGTGGGTAAAGTAGGCCACAAAGCACGGTGTGTAACTTAAGCCCATTTTTTGTTAAATAAAAGAAAAAAAATGACATAGGTATGTATGTGTATGTGCGCATACATTATTATGTATTATATACATAATACATATATTATGAGTGATTTTTTCACTGTCTTTTTAATATCTTTTTACATTGACTGATTTTTTAAAATAAATATGTTCTTTTATAGTCAGAAAAAAACAGTAAAACTAGTTTTCATGTAGAAAAAAATGGCATTTATACAGAACAACTCTGGATTACTCTATCCTATGAGATTTTCTCTTCCATTTAATTCTCCCTCCCCCATCAGTGATCAGAGTAAGGGGCCATGAGTTCATCTTGCCCAAAGGACCTCTGAGATGAATGGTATTTGGTGATTAACTAAACCAAGCAGGAAAACAAAAGGCTTTTCTTCTTTTAACAACCTGCATGCAGAATCAAAGATTGTTTAAGCTTATCTATAAAGTTCAAGGAATCAAAGGTTGACAAACTTTTTCTATGAAGGGCCAGTTAGTAAGTATTTTTGGCTTTGCGGGCCATATGCAGCTACTCAGTGTCGTCATGGTAGCATGTAAGTAGCCACGGACAACACTAAAACAAAGAAGCACAGCTGTGTTCCAATAAAACTTGATTATAGATGCAGAAATTTGAATTTTATGTAGTTTTCTCATGTCACAAAACACTATTATTTTTATTTTTTTTCAACCATTAAAAAATTTAAAAGCTGTTTTTAGCTTGTGTGCTATACAAAGATAGGTGATGGGACAGACTGGCCCATGGCCAGTAGTTTACCAGCCCCGGTTAGAGGTAACAGAGTCCTTTATTTCACAGATACAGAAACTGAGGTCGAGAAAGGTGAGTGCCTTCCCCAGCATGACAGACCTGGTCTGAGGCAGAGCTGGGACCAGGAAGCAGAACTTCTGATGCCTAGTCCAGTGCTCCTTCCTCCTCACCACACACAGGCCGCACTGGTTAAAATCAAGACTCTTTTTGTCCCAACCATGCCAACACAATTGGGAAAAAAAAAAGTCAAATTTTAATAATATTATCTCTGGGGAGATTATTAGAAAATGTTAATAAGACAAAATATAACAAAGGTGAAATGTCTGTATTTGAACTGGATCTATAAATATAAAGAGCTGCAAACGTCTGGTTAATTTTATTTGTATGCGTTGTCAGGCTGGGCAATTCTGATTACCCAGATGATTCAGGCTACTTTGGCATAAATTATCAACTTAGTAAAATAATTGTTGCCAAATCTCTCATTCATTTTGGACAATGAAAACTAACCACTGTGAAAACAAAAGAGGTAGGACGCTCACCAAGGTAGGAAACACCTTCTTCTGGAGATATGGTGCCATATTTTACCATCATCTTCACAAAGTCAATCAACGTTTTCATGATAGTAATCAAGGTTTCTTTCTCTTTTGCCTCTTTTTCTATATAAAAGGACAAAATAATTTTTTAAAGACTAGTGGAGTATAGCTTCATCTTTCAATGTTAATTTATGAAATACAGCATCTTATTGAAATAGTTCTCCCTACATATATAGCTAAGCCATTTATAGCTAAAATATATTTAATTTCTGAAAAGCCCAAGACTTGATTGGTAATACAGAACAATGTACAGGTATACTGAACTTTTTCAGAAATGGGTAATTATAACTTCTCCAAAACGGTTTACCTTCATCTAAAATATTTTATTGATAGAGTAGATGATAGAGACAGTTTGCAACCTGAGATAATATAAACTCAAAAGGAAAGTTAGAAGACTGGTAACCCAACAACCTTTCTCTACTCTGGTCGTATGTTTTTGAGGGAAGGAATGACCTGTTTTCATTAATCAAGCTTAATATTTGAAATAGGGACACACATGTTTAGTTTTTAAATGCAATGTTGATTTTTTAACAGTAGTATATATTGCTTTCTAACATTTATTTCATTTGAAAGAATAAACGCATATGGTGAAAATATTCCAATGGTACAGAAGTAAACAGTGAAAGCAATATTCTCTTCCTCTCCCTCCCCACAACTCCTACTTCCTATAAGCAACCACTACTAACAGTTTCTTGGAAACTTCATATTTGACATACTGTTCTGTATCCTGATAGAACAAGATGGCCAATGATTCCATAATAGTTCAGTGGCTATACTAATTCTAAAATCAGAAAAAAAAATCTATTTCCATTTTTGAAGGAAAGAAAAACTAAGTTGCTAGAGAACTGTTTCCCTATTCTTTCAGCTGCCAGGAAGGATTTTCTCTGCATACTTCTAGCCTTTCCCCCCATTTTTTCATCCTCCACACAGATGAGGTTGGTAGCCAACAGCCATTAGTCTACTTTTCTTGACGGATGGGGATTTGGAATCTTCCCCTGGAACAGTGGAAGGCAGGGAACTGAAAAATGTGCCTGCTGTGCAGACTCAAACTCTTCCAGGATTGGCTGCTCCATGAGCTAGACTGAGGGTAGGGAGCAGACAAGCCCACTGCTGGCTCTCACACCAAGCTACATTCTACAACCCGGTCTGTATCAGTAGCAAAGATACTTTGGTTTTCTCAATTGGTTCAGACCTTGGGTAAAAAAGATGGGTACTACCAAAGACCTCAGTGTAAGTATTTAAATTAAAAGTCTATACAAATAAAGGCAATAAGGAACGGGGTCAAGGAAACTGAAAGATAAAAACACACAAAATAAAGAATATTCCATACAGTGGAATCTTAAAAATACCACAAAAGTCACAAAGTTGGGAGAGAGGAAGGTGGGAGAAGAGGTGTGGGAGAGAAATCCTGGAAAAGGGCAGGTAAATAATAACTTCAGCAATCACATTATGTGCTCAAGGTCACATCCATATAAATATTTGGTATTATGCTGATACACTTCTCTGACAAGAAGTGACTCACCAGAATGACAGAGGTTCTGAGCTGGGTATCTGCCAACCAGTGGGCCAAGAATAGACCCTCAAGATGTACAAGCCCTGCAGACACCAGCAGGGGGGCTGATACCATCTGGCCAATGTCTGGGATTGAAGGACAAAAGGATGTTCCCCAGAAATGAAGTCTACTCTAAGGTCACTTCTTGGGGAAAGATGTTACAATTACAGAAATCTTTATTACAAATGTTCAAACTGGCCATGAATCTTTAAACAGGAAGAAGAAAAGCTATAAGGCAGTGCAGGGCAGCTATATGGACAACAACAACAGAAAATTGGCACATTATTATCTTCCTTGCAGATTAACCAAAAATAAACATGAACTGAAATCTTCAGTCAACTTATTTTGGTGCACATATAAAAGAAAAGAGAACAACACATTAAGGACTTTTTTTAAAAAAAAAAAGCAGAACATTTCCCAAGCGTGTTTTGGGCTCCTGACCTTCATTAGTCCAATGTTTAGTTCAATTCATTTGAAGACAAGTTGAAAATATCTAAAAAGCAAAATTCTGAATCATTTAAAAATAATAAATTATGTTCCATTCACTGTTCTTACTAAGAGAGGAAAATAAAGCCTTTTTGAAAAGAGACTTGCAATAAAAGTTGAGGCTGAACTGGGTCAGGCCAGGAACACTCTGATTCATCTCTATATCGGCACAAGGTTCACTACAATCCCAGAAACACAGCATGTGTTCAATACCTGTTTATTGAACAAATAAATGAACCCTCTGTTAACATGAAGATTAAATTATCCAGAAATTCCACCTTTCCTGATTACCCTTTCCTAAATATTTCCATGGCTAGTACACTTCTTTTGAAAAAAATCAGTGTGAACTATTTTCCCCGAGGCCATAATATACGTCATAGACAGCTGAATTTAGAAATTGAAAACAGGAAGAAAAAAACCCCACCCACACATTTCCTGGAATTACTGTTTCTGTTCCACATGGTCAGAAAACAATGTTTACCTGAATCAATACTTTTCAGTAGTGCATAGAAGTTTGGGAAATACTGGAGTTCCTCAAAGTTGTCTTCACTGTAGGTTTTAGTTCTCCTTTCCAAGCCATTCGTCAAGGTTAAGGTGTTAGATACTGTTTCGTCATTTTCTCCATTAGTAAAGCCATCTTGAATTGCTGCCATTGGAGTCTACAGTGGGGGAAAAATCAATACAAAATAAACATTTTTGTTAGAACTGATGACAATCCAGGATGATTCTTTCCTCTGTGATGCCCTTGAATTGAAGTGCAAGAATATCTCTTCCTTTGTAAGCTCGTGCAGGATCAAACTCTTTTGCAGGTGTGTGGGCAACTAGTTACATGGGAAGATCACTGGGATTTAGAGACAGGTGCTTTACCTGAAGACCCTGGCTCCTGCTCAGGGGAGAATGGACAGGTTGCTGCTCTGGCCAAGTTTCCCTCCACCAGTTCTCATGAGTGTTTCTTCATAGAACTGCCTTTCACCAAGGAGGGGAGCTTTGAGTTTATACAATCTACCAAGAGGGATGGTGCCAAGATACAGGAAAGCCTGTCACAATGTCTAATACTAGCAGAGCAATCATACCTTAGTGATTCCTGGGTGACATTTTAAACGCTGGCTGGGAGGGTACACAAGACTCTTTTTCCCAAACTTGATGTGTGTCCAGTGTTCCCTATCTTAATGATCCATTCTCCACTGAGTGAACTAGAAAGAAATGTAAGAGCCTTTCTTGCCTCTTCATTTCCCTGCATTCCATCCATCAGTAGCCTTATTGGCCATACTGTCTAAATTTATCCCAAATTTGTACATTTCTCACTTTCTCCACTACCCCACTCTAGTCCAAGCTACCTTCACTTCTTAGTTTTTAACTGGTACACCACCCACCTTCCAATCTCTTCCCAACCCTGCATTTTCCATGTTGTAGCCAGTTATCTTTTTAAAAATATGATCATGTGACTCCTTTGCTTAAAATCCTTCAGTGTTTTCCCATTGCTCTTATGATAAAGATCAGAATCTGTACATGGTTGATAAGACCCTGCTGATCTGGCCTGGGTCCACCTCCCCAGTCTCATCTCTCATTGCTCTCTCTGTGTGGCAGCCACACTGTCCTTGTTTCAGTTACTTGGGTACTCCACACATCCTTCTCTACATATTGCCTATCATATTCACAAGTTAACTCCTATTCAGCCTTCAGTTTTTGGCTCAAGTCACCTCCTCCGGGAAGCCTTCCCCAAGCCTAAGTCCAAGACAGGTTCCTTTTTTATGAGGTCTAGTAGAACCATGTTTCTTTTCTCAGAGTACTTAATGCAGTCACAATTAAAATACATGACTGGGCTTCCCTGGTGGCGCAGTAGTTAAGAATCTGCCTGCCAATGCAGGGGATACGAGTTTGAGCCCTGATCCGGGAAGATCCCACATGCTGCAGAGCAACTAAGCCTGTGTGCTACAACTACTGAGCCTGAGCTCTAGAGCCTGCGAGCCACAACTACGGAGCCCACGTGCCACAACTACTGAAGCCCGTGCGCCTAGAGCCCACGCTCTGCAACAAGAGAAGCCACCGCAATGAGAAGCCCGCGCACTGCAATGAAGAGCAGCCCCCACTCGCGCAACTAGAGAAAGCCTGCGCGCAGCAACAAAGATCCAACAGAGCCAAAAATAAATAATTTATTAAAAAAATAAAATAAAGTAAAATAAAATAAAATACATGACTATTTGAAGACCATCTACCTCTTCCCTTAGACCTTAAGCATAATGAGAGCAGGGACTATATCTTTTTAAATGAGCATTGTACCCCCAGTGTTTGGTACATAGGTGGTACCTCAATAAACATTTACTGAAAGAATATTTTGTTTGCATTTATGCATTTAGATAATATGAGAGAGCAGGTCAAGCATATGGACATTTTAGAGGTGGGAAGTAAGGAGTATATAATGGGAGTGAAGGATCATGAAAATTGCTATGTCAGTTTTAGTTCAGATTGGTAAGTTTGAGTAAAAGCCATGAGTTCTGTGATAAATCTAGATAGTTTTTTTTTAGGGTGGGTGGATCTTCAAAAGCTGTTTTTAAAAATGGCAGATGGTGGGGATTGGAAGTCGGGAGTGCAAAGGAGAATTTTTGGCTAGCAGTAAAAAACAAAAACAATCTATACCAATTTCTGTTTTCTAGCCTTCCCTAAAATAGGACCATGTACCCTTTTTCCTTGTATTTGGGATAGGATGTTGGAGAGCCATGGGGTATGGGTGCTCTGGTGGAGAAAATGAAAGGAGAGGTGAGGAGTTTGATATCCTCTTATATCCTCCTATAGTTAGCTCCATCTAGAAGTTTAAAAAGGAATTCAAGGAGGAGAGAATGATTTTAGTAGTTTGGCTGAGGCCAAAGAAAAGATGAAGAGGCAAGGAGTCCAGCAAGGACAAGGACAAGTGAATGGCAAGTCTAAGTAAAGGATGACAGACAGGCCTCTGAGCCAATGGAAAGGGGAAGAAGCAGGTGGAAGGACACAGGGTAGACAGAGAGGCAGCATGAGGCAACTAGCTCTGAGGAATATAAAAGCTGGTGTGGAAAAGGATCACATCAGCCCAAGTTTCTTTTTTGGGGTTTTGGGAGCAGATGATGACATCCACTGTGAACAGAAGTTGGATACCAACTTCTGTTGTGAAATACTTGGATCCAGGGCACTGTGATTATACGAATTGTTATGTGAAATAACCGTTTCACATAATATTATGCGTTATTTTATTCTGGGGTATAAGGCATAATCTTTACTGTGTAATATAACATGCATCTTTATACTATTTTCAAAGTGGAGTTCATTAATATCTTTTAACTCATTGGTATCTCATTAATGTATATATTTTAAGTGGGCTAAAAATGTCACATACCCCAATTCTTATTTGGCACAAACTGAAGTACTAATTATACACAGATTGTATTAATTATATACAAATACAAGTATACACACACATCCATGCACATGCATATACACATACATAATAGATGCATATACATTTGCATATACATACCACTTTCTCTGGTATTTTTCCAGCCTGACTCTCAGTCCTGTTGGTTGGCTTATTGAGTTCCTCTTCATAACTGTTGGCTTCCTTAGAGATCAGTTTTTGTAAAACCTCTGCAACTTCATCTTCCAGTGTGTGTGCCTGGCTTTCTGTGATCTGTTATAAAGAGTCAAAACATATAACTGTTATTCCCATTTTTGTGATTTAAAAAAAAATCCAGACTAAACTCTTTAGTTGAACACATATTTTTAGAAGACTAGAGAATGTTCTGGTCCCTCTTCTGAACATCCCTTGAATATGCCTCTACTACATGCTGGCCTTCACAGTAACTGCTCAGCACTCCTGGGAAGAAGTGTCTTTGGGCCCCATCAGTCCTATCTGTTGGAACCCACAGAATACTTAATTTGAGAAACAACTTGAGGGTTGTTTCTCAGTCCTCAGCTGCAGGTCATAGTAGGTAACCTTTGAAACCTGCAAATTTAGTGCTCTCCTAAAGCCTGCCAGGCCTGTGTTAGTATCTGGGAGCCAAGCTGGGGCAGGGTCAGTTTGAATTGCTTAGGGCTTCCCAATCATTGCGTGGCTTTGCACATCTTATTTCCTTCTCATCTAACACATTTTTTTTTAAAACTTCTGCTGGTTAAATCCTAACCATCCTTCTAAGCTCACTTCAAACACCTCCTCCTCTGAAGCTTTTCCTTATTGCACAACTGGATATAATCCACCCTCTGGCACACTGAACCACTCAGATGGTTCTTATGCACCTTGCATCATGAGCACTTGCGTACTTGTCTAGTGCCTCTGATAAACCATAAATTCCTGGAGGGAAAGAATGGTGTCTTACTTTTCCTCGAGACCCATGGTGACTGGTATAAAGTAGATGTGTTATAAACATTTGGCTCTTTGAATGAATTGGCTTGGCTTCTTAGCATATTCCAACCTAAGATTTGGTTTATTCTCATGCATATGACTTACTAGGCCAAGATTCAGCAGTTTAGAAACGATCTTGTCAAATACTCCTCTGTCATTTTCCTCATAAATCCTGGTAGCAATTTTCTGGACAATGTCTTCAGCAGTTAAAGAAGTTCCATCTAGTTGATGAAGGCCATCTGGATCATCTAGACACAGCAATCACAACTTCACGTTGTGGTGGTCACAGACCTATTTCTTGGATTACATTAGATTTATAATCTATATCTTGTACACTCAAATATGTTTGGAATATGTTTAAGGTGGTGCTTAGCCCATGTAAACTCTTGGTTTAAAATAAAATTTGACTTCAAGTTAAGAACCTAGGATGATAATGGAAATTCTGAAAGCTTCTTTTGTGATTATAAGAGGAAGATCTGAAAATAACACAAAAGGCCTCTCCGTTTTTAGCACTAATAGTACAAAAAGTAAAATACTGTTAGATAGTATGCAGTATTGTTCAAAGCACCCTTCTATATATTATATAATTTGATATTCCATTTCCCCACAAGAGTAGATTGGAATTACCTGCATATGTACTCCCTTTGCAGGCAAATTCCTGGGCTGAGGGTGGGGAAACCTGCCTTACACCCAGAATCAGAGAGTATGTACTGAAGATTTTATGACTTACCTGGAATAACTGTTGACTTGTGAGTATGTGACAGGGCACCTTTATGTAAGGCAGCTTAATGTGACAAGCCTCTTTCTCCAGAGAATGGGGAACTTATTTTATGTACCTGGAATTTAAGCTTTTAAAATGTGATCACAGGTTTGCACAAAGCAATATGTAAATCTATGTAAATCTCAGCAGAGAAGCTCGCAGATATGTATCCTTGGCTTTCCTGGGAATACATTTGGCAGCACTACTCCAGACTAAAGCAAGGGCCCTTCCTGAGGGAAAGGAAGGATACAGTAGGGTTGGTGGCAAGGAAGCTTTGCACTATGTCCACAGAGCACTCCCAGGAATTAATTCGTCTTTTCCAATCTATACCACATGGAACAGTATATTCATATATGCAAGTTTACAAGGCACTTAACCTGTCACTTCTAGGCAGCTTGGAAAGATCAGAAATTTAGCTCCAGTGATCCCTCTTGTTATCTATATATCCTTGGACCACTGTAAAGGAAGTTAATAAGAGTATCTATTTCATGGGATTGTGAGGATCAAATGGAATAAGATGTAAAAGCACCTTTTAAATTGCAAAGTATCGTATGAAAGTTAACGTAGTTTTATGACCGTAGATTTGTACCTGAAATAAAGGAACTACAATTATCTTCTAGAGAAAATAGACATTGCATCCCTAGCCAAATCCTACCCTAATAATTCTGATCATATTCACTCAAAGAAAGAAGAACCTAGTACATATTTCTATTCTGATTCTCTCCTTTTCTTCCATAGCTCCTGGGGATTCATAGACTTTTTCTGGACTCTATGAAGCTGGAAGTATGTGCAGCCTCAGGCAGAATATCCTCTTCTTGTTGTTTGGAAAGAAGCTTAGGAAAATGAGCAGGGTGAGTATACACAGAGGGCTGGAAGTTCTCTGACAGTATATGATTGCTGAATTGTTGGCCAACTCATGAGCTGTGAGCCCTTTAAGTCCTGTGTACCAGCATGACGAATGAGCAGAAAAGTCCCTTAGAAAACCCTGTAAAATCAGTTCCCCTCCTGGCCGACTGAAAATTGAGCTCATCACCCATGTTTTTCAGGAGCAGAGACTCACTATCACTTAGGTCTGATTTTTCCATTTGTGGGTTGCAAGTCAGACTCTCGGGAATATGTGGAGCAGAAACTTCCCTGGGTCTAGGCAGAGGTGGAAGCATTTATTTCCCTTCCCACTTATCCCTCAGGATCTGAAAAAGGAAGAATAGTGGTTGCCTGCTGAAGCTGGAAAATAAATGAGATGACTGTTTTTCAGTTCATTTACTTCACAACAGGAAGAACACTAGCAACGCTCTGAAGAAATAGCTTCCTCCTCTGCAGTGCTGTATTCTCTTGAGCCAGGAACTTCAGGCTCCCCTAGCAGAGCTTCGCTAGATGGGGTTGATAGTTGAGGAGTTGGGCAGTGCTCCTTTGCCTTCCAGTGATTTCCCTTCCTCCTCTACAATGGACAGAATTACTCAGAATGGCTTCTCTACTGCTCGTGAAGGGGTGTTTCACCCTCCTATACAGACCTCAGAGGGAAACCAAACGTGAGTTCAATATTTTATGAGTTTTTAAAGCATTTACAACTCTAAGTGGATGCAAAAGGGCCTTGTTCAAAGTTGTCATCTGCTCAGTTACATTTGAATCTCCAGGCATCTAATATGGCACTTGACCTTCATTTATTCAATATATTTGTATTAAAGTCTTAATATGGGCCAGGACTAGAAATAGAGTGATAAAGAGTTTAGATGTGGTCCCTAACTGCACAGAGCTTACTGTCTAGCTCATAGACTGATACATAGTAATTGCTCAATGAATATTTGTTTGGTGAGTGCACACAGGAGCCACAAAGCACTATTTCCTAAAAGAAACTTACAAAAATCCTGAATCATACATACTGTAGAAAACACTGAGAAGGAGAATTGGTGGGTCCTATAGCACAAGCCCATTTAGAGGTTTCCTAAAGGTATAAAAGCACCCTGCAGAAGTTAGGCCCCTTGCCCTCCCTTCTGGGATGTAAGTCTGCATACCTCTGAGGTTCTAGTCACCTGAGTGGTCCCAAACCTTCTGGTTCCAGGATTACCAGGGTATGAGAGAAAATCAGTAATTCACTCATATCATTCTCTCCAAGAATCTTTTCTGTATACTCAAGTGGACTTAAAATGACCCCTAGGGTAAACCTGGAACCATCAAAACTAGCACTTGGTAGTTCTGAACCTATTTGCATGTTAATAAAATGTTGAACAATTTAAACATAAGTTGCTCAAGTTAGTGATCAGATCACAAACAGATCTGCCTCTGTTTGCATGTACAGCCCATCTGACCAAAAAATGCAGTCAAACAAACTTTAGACTATTTTTTTATTTTATTAAATCAAACGGTCGATTCAATCAAAGTGGTTAAATTTATTTTTCATGGGGCTATGCCCAGTGCCTATTTATTTCTAGCCCAAATGTTTTAGTTTAAAAAGTAGAATTCAAAACAAAATGTCCCTGGGAATTCCCTTGTGGTCCAGTGGTTAGGACTCATCGCTTCCACTCCCATGGGTCCGCGTTCAGTCCCTGGTCAGGGAACTAATATCCCGCAAGCCATGCACAGCACAGCCAAAACAAAACAACAACAACAAAAACAAAAACAAAGCCCTCACACAAAAAAAACCCCAAAACATTTCCCTGAATAGTATACAATATGAAATGTGTCAAAATATAAACCATTTCCCCCATGTCATCCATATAAAACACACTTCTGAATTCTCCTCAGGCTACAATAGCCTATAAAAGTCAAATTTAATTGGCAGTTTTTTCTGACAGAGATAATCAGTATAATTCTCTTGTGGTCCGTGGAAAAGAATTAAGACACATAAGAAAATCTGTAGTCACTCCTAAGCACCAGTACTCAGAATGGAAGACACACTGAGGAAGACCTCAATGCCTAGGTACAATAGTTAATTTATTCCCTCATGTATTCTTTTATTTGTGCATTTGTTCATTTATCAATTCATGCAACAAATTCACGAGCTTCAGACACTTGGACTACACCGTCTCTGTTCTCATGGAGTTTTCAGTTTAGTTTAGGAGAAAAAGATAAATCATAAGTAGTCACACTCAAGGATGTAAAATTACAAACTGCAATAAGTGCCATGAAGGAAGGAAATAAGGTTTCTATCAGATCATGTGTGCTGGATGAACCTAGAAAAGTAGACAGCCCATGTAAGAGTGTAGAAGCCACGTTAAGGATCTGGGGTTTTATCGTAAGAGAAATGGGAATCTATTAACAGGTTTTATGCAAAACAGAGACATGCTCATGTTTGTGTGTTGAAAAGATCACTCTGGCTGCTACATGAAGGATAAGATGGAGAGGGTCAGAGCAAATGCTAGAAGATCCATTGGAAGATTTTGCTCTAGTTCAAATGAGACATGACTGGAGCTTGGAAAAAGATGGAGGTGATTTGGGATAGAGAAAAAAATTTTGAGAGATACATAGGAGATAAAATTGCTAAGACTGATGGATTAGAATTTGAGAGGTAAAGAAAAAAAGAAATAGTTTGACTCATAGATTTGTCTTGAAAAGCTGGATGTATAGTAGTGCCTTTCCTAGAGGAAAGAGGGCTAAGTTGTAAGGTGTACAGAAATTATGAATTTAATCTTAGACATGTTAAGTTTGAGGTGCACCTGAGACTTCCAAGGGAAGATAAGTCGGTAGTTAGCTAGATATAGGTCTATAGTTCAGAGAATTCTGGGCTAGTGATATGAAACATCAGGATACAGATGGTAACTGAAGCCGTGGAAAGGTTAGAATGACCTAGGGAGAAAGGATATAGCTAGGAAGAGAACACTGAAAAGGGAGTAACGAATATTCCACTTGGGGAGGGGGGGTATTTTGTTGATTTAATTGTTTGAGAATTATGATATTTTGCTTGTACTAATAGTTAAATTGGAATGTTAAAATGAATTCAATAACATAAAATATAGAGAGTAGATTTAAATGTTTTTCAAAGCATCAGTAAAGGAAACTTTAAAGAGAAAATAAAATCTGGGCTTCTGTGGAGCTGGAGCTTTGCACATTATCAGTAAGTTTGGGCTTTATCTCAATTTTGGACATGACTAATAAAGGATTGTAAGTGTGTAAGAGATATTTTTAAAATATAGGACTTTCTCTTAACGCATAATGGGAGACTCCAAATTAGAGAAAATAGGTAGCAAAACTTATTTTTCTTCATTTACCTTGAAATTTATGATCCAGTCCACTCTTAGTAGAATCATAATCATCAATCAGTCTTCGATTCTTGGTTGAATCAACATCTTCCAGGTTCAATTTATTATCACTTGGAGAACTTTTTACGGACTGTCTTTCCTTGTCATTCTTTTCCTTTTCTGTTATAGCCTTTAGCAGGTTCAAGTTATCAACAAAGGAATAATTGCTCTCACCTGGCTTGTTTTCTGGAAGAAAAGCCCCCAAACCAGGCACATCCGTTTTAGTTAAGCTTCTCATAGCCTACATTATTTAAATTAACATCAGTGTAATTTCTTATTACCTGAAGGGTATGTTTTTTTAATCTTGTCTGCTTCTGCTTCAGCAATCTGTGAAAGAAACAGGAGACAGATCTGGTTTTAAATCATTGCTCCACCACTTATGACAGCTCAGTAATTTAATCTCCATGGGATTTAGCTTTCTTGTTTGTAAGATGTAGTTAATAATTTCTATCTCAAAGTATGTCATAAGGATTAAATGAGATAAAATAAAGGGCAGATGGTCTATAAATATTAATTCCCTCTCTGATAATATTGGTAAAAGATAAATCTCTGATAAAGAAATCTTACAATAGAATGGATGTGATGTTGAGCTTACTGGGTCATTATGCAGGCAGCTCTTTGTATTATACTGAACTCTCTATATTTAACTGTTGGGACATAAAAATTACCAAAATTATATTTCCCATCATAATTTCAATGTATATTATTAAGCTCCTGAGGTTTGTGAATTCAAAATGGCTAAAAATTCGCAGCATAATTACATTAAATAATAATAACTAAAATAAAATGGAATAGCATTTATAATTTTACTTCTGACCTACCTGCTCATTCAAAGGTCTTTCTGCACTTAATTCTCTATTATGTAGGGGTTTGTCTAGAATAAACACACACAAATACAAATGTAATTGTTCATTGGAAAGACAATATGTCTCATTAAATAAAATCTTCTTAAAAAAGGAGAAATATTTTTGGATGACTGTGAAACAAATATATATATATTAACAGAGATTATCAAGATTATACAATAACTATGATTATCAGTGTTGCCTTGCTTATTATCTTGGTGTATTTCCTGAGTTAATACAATTACACTTTTTCTTTTTTTTTTTTGACCAGAAATCTAACATATTGTTCTAACACTTGGTTTACCAGCTGTTTTCAACTAGACAGAGCATAGTCTGGATTGGTATTATTGGCACATTAAAAGCTTTCTTCATACACTGCACGTTTTATGAATAGAATATCTGAGAAAGGTTGTAAGACGACTAGGAAAAAAACAAACAAACAAACAATCCAGAAAACAAGCCACATATTAGGAGGGAAAGCCACCCCCTCCCAATTTCAAAATAAGATCTTTCAAAACAACTTATGTTATTGTTCTATCATGTAAAAAGTGAGGGAGGAAAATCTGTCTTCTGGCTCTGAATTCGAACTGATTTCTCTGTCAGTATGCACGGATATGACGTGATCAGAAAATGAGGCAAGGTGATTTACAGCTTATACCAAGCTTTACCTTTTCATGGCGAAATAAAAGGGAGGTGGGAAGAAAAGTGTCCACGTACCTTGGCTGCCTGCGGGTTTGGGGAAAGCTTGAATTGCGCTGCTGTGGAGCACCAACACCACAATCCAAGTGCCGGTCCAAAGGAACCCCATTCTTCCACGCTTGGCTTCAGAAACAGCCTGGCGCCGGGCTTCCGGAGCTATAGCTTTTGTTGTTATGAATGAAAAGGAGGAGTAAAAACAGGAAGAGCTAGGAGGGCGGGCGCGGGGAGGGCGAGTGGCGGGTGCTCGGAGCTGGTGGAGCTCTCTGGGGCTCCGGAGTAAAGGGATATTAGAAAGACTCTGGGCGCTCGGGACTCAGGTCTTCAGGTGGAGGAGAGCGCTGTCCGCCCCGTGGGTGCTGAAGTTCCTGTGACGCGGAGCGGGCAGCGGGTCGGCTAGGGCGTCACCTTACTCTCGCTCCCTCCTTGAGAGGAAGTGAGGATGGAAGCGCATGCTCCCTGCGAGCCAGAGGCGGGAAGGGGTGGTGTCAGCGACTCGGAAGCTGCTCCAATCCCCACAGCGAGTGGAAGCGGGGAGGACGACAGACTAGCTAGCGTATTTTCGGTGCCGCAGTCCTAGGGGTGCTCCTGCGCTCACGGTCACCTGGATTGCTGTAAGCGTGCACATCGTTGTCGTAACCTCCCAAGTAAACGTTACCTCAGGGACCAAATGCCATCTCTGCCCGTGCACCTGTCAAGGAAAGCTAGATAACCTTGTGCAAGGGGTTCTGCTTAGAGATTATTCTGGGATACCTTCTCCAAAAAGCCCTTCTTTCCATTCCACCTTCTGTACCTAAAAGGTAGATATAATTCTTATATTCTTAGAAAAGCCGTGCCTTTTGTGATTTGGGTTGACATACCAGGGCTCCCTTGGTGCTGTTATTTGTGTCTGAGCTCTATGGAGTCCTTTGAATTGGGATATTTAAGGAACATTCTTTCAAATAGATTGCTGCAGCACACTCTCACTCTCCTAGATGAGGAAACAGAACAACAACAACAAAAATCATCGTTTGTTCCCCTAAGCGTGAATATCCTCATCAGTCCAGGGTAGGTGAGCAATAGGGGCTAGTTTCAATAAAAAATTTCCCCTTCCTCACCGTGGGAAACACCTCTTCAAAGAAAGAAAGGAAAAAAAGAAAAAAAAAAAAAAGCACTTTTGTAAAATTCTTCCCTAGGATTCAATTATGCCTAAGGACTTGGTTGTTCCAGCACTCCTTGAAAAGAGTGGGTAATCATGAAAAGCATTTTTCATCATAACTAGGTCAGGGAGGTTCTTTCTATATTTTGAGAATATTCCCAGAAGCCTAAGATTATTGCATAAAAGGAGCTATCAAAAGACTTTAAAATGATGAATACAAGCAACACTAATGTGAGCAGGGTGCTGAGTAAGCTGTTTAGTCTCTGATTTTTAAACAGAGCTTGGACCCTTTCCTTTGGACTGTGGCATGCTGGGAACTAGTCTGAATAATGACCAAAGAGAAGAATTCAGCACAATCAGGCCTTTGATTTCTGCACCCCTGCTTTTCAAGGAGCAAGTTAGTTGTTCAAGTACCTAAAAATAAACAGATGAATCTCCCTCATTCTGGAAGTCTTTGAATTTGGATATCACTCAAATACTTTCTTTAAGAATCTAAGGAGTACTTTGGATCTAACACCTGCTTTGAAACAAATAGTTGTTTCTTGGCAGTGATGACATAGCATTAATATCCCAGTAGGCTGCATGAAAAAATTGTCTCCCAATTTAAAATCCCAGCCAAGTGAAGGGCAAATTTCCTCTTCTTTAAAACAGAGGTGGCAGGCTCTGTTTACCTTACAGTGTAATTGTGGAGAACAGTTGAGTACATGTCTTGATCAAATCATTTTGATGCCAGGAATATTTTGACACAGCCTAAAAAATAAGTTATGAAGTGTTTTCAGCTTTTCATAAACATTACCAAATATTAGGTGAAATAGCCAGTCACTGAGATTTACTCTGTCGCCCCAGCCTCACTGCATCCTTTGTCCTGTCCTTAACTTACCTCTCCCCACAACATATGTTTGCAGTTGGGAGGGACTCAGGATGGAATTAAGGGAAGGGGTGGCTATTGAGCACGATGCATTGCTTGCCAAAAATGAAAAAGGTATTTGACTCTTCTCTGCCATTTGTACTCAAAGTGACTGTGTTAAATCTAAGAACATGTTCTGTTGCTGACCAAATGAGCTGTGGAGCACTGAGTAAACTGTAAGGCTTGGAGTCATTTACATTCCTCAGTCTTACGGATGTTTCTGCCAGACGTAGTATCTGTCTATGAGTGGAGTAATCCTAAGTTTCATTTATTCATTCATTCATTTAAGAGATAAAGTTTCATTCATTCATTCATTCATTTAAGAGATATTTACTGAGTATTCAAAATGTACCAGGTATTGAGATAATTGCTGGGTATGCAAAGATAAGTAAGGTATGGTCACTGCTGGTCTTACAGCCTGAAAGAAAGGACTGTGATTATAACAAGCACCACCACAACTATTTACTGAATAGGTTTCATGTGCTACACATTGATCTCACTTAAATGTAAGTGAACAAATAAACATGAGAGTGTGTTATGGGTTCCCTGTTATACGTGCAGAGTTCGGGTTGGGTGCAAATAATGGAGTGAATGATCAGGAAAGGTTTCAAAGAGAAGATCTCTTTCCTTAATAATAAAAATTTAAAATATTTGATTATTGTGTATAAGCACACTATAAACATTGAATAATATAAAAATATATGTTGAAGTTGCAAGACAAGTGTCATTGACACAGATCAGGTGATCATGAAATAGACAACATACAATGCACAGTGACTTTGTCAATGCTGTTTGTATATGTGTGGACACACATGGTTTGATTGTTGTATGCTCATTCACTGGTATAGAAGATGCCTTTTGTGCTGAGTCTTGAAGATAGAGATATTTGAACTTGCTTATATTTATTAGAGGAAAAAATTTATATTATTATTGCATGTTATATTACAGAAAATTTCAGACAAACACAAAAGGAGTAAAAATACTGAAACAAACTCCTTGAATTCATTACCTAACTTCAATAATCATTAATTCATGACCACTGTTTTTTTTTGTTTTGTTTTTTGTTTTTTTTTTTTTGGTATGTGGGCCTCTCACTGTTGTGGCATCTCCCCTTACGGAGCACAGGCTCCGGAAGCGCAGGCTCAGCGGCCACGACTCACGGGCCCAGCCGCTCTGCGGAATGTGGGATCCTCCTGGACCCGGGGCACGAACCCGTGTCCCCTGCATCCGCAGGCGGACTCTCAACCACTGTTCCACCAGGGAAGCCCATGACCACTGTTTTTATTTTATATTCCCAACCAATGGATGATTTACGTGTAAAAATCCCAAACTTCATATCATTTCATCCACAAGTATGTCAGGATATTTACCTAAAGGATAAGGTTCTTTTTTGTCCTAGCATTACTGTAATACCTTTATCATATCTCATAATAATACTATTCCTTTAGTATCATCACATAACCAGTCAGAGTTCAAATTTCCCCACTTGCCATATAAATATTTTTACAGATGGTTTGCTTACACCAGAGTCCAAATTAGGCCATATGCTGCATTTGGTTGGTATGTGAGAGACCCATATTAGTATAAGATATTGCAAGGTTTTCTTTCCCTTCCCCAGACAAGTTAGTTGCTTCCTTAGAATACTGTGCACACTTCCAGTGTAGCATGTATCCCATTGTGCTGCTTTTTGTACATGATTCTTTTCATTTCAAAAATAATAAATATACACTGAAGGAAAAATTCTGAAAAGACAGTAAGTAAAAAGGAGAAAAATTATCTGATAGAGACAACCACTGCTAACTCTGGGCATATTTCCTTTTGGTGCATGTTTTTCTAAGAAAATATACACGTATTTATAAAATCGTATCTCTCACTGTAATTATCTCCTTACATATTTAGCTGTCTATCCCACTAAATTGTGAACTCTTTAAGGGTAAGGATCTTATCTTGCTTACCCTTCACTTCTCAGCCCGTCTTATAGCATCTGGAAATCCATTTGCTTAAGTAAATGAATGAAGTGATGAAGGGTTGCCTGTTCACCTTTGGTCTTCAAATGCTGAGACCATGATGGCTGTCCCACATTGGAGGATCATGACAGTCTTGCAGGGCCAGGAGCTGCCAGTTCCTTCAAGAGCTGTTAGTCACTCTGTCAGCATGATCATCCACTCAGCATTTTCTTTACAAAAGAGTAGGCTTGCAGAAGAGTGTTCATGAAAGGACTAAAAATAGAGAGCCAGAGCTGGCAAACGCTCACACAGCTACAGAGCTATAGGAATGGATCCATTGCTGTTGAAAAGACTGACACAGAATGCCAACACTAGAGACGGCTACTGGTGTAGCTCAAAAGAGAAATGTGGAATCTGGAAATTCACCATCAGAGGAAAGTTGAAGTAACCAAGGATGATGGAAATGAGCAAATAAAAAGACTAAAACAAGGAAAGTAAAAACATGGAAATGCAAAGAGTATATGAATAAAGAAAATGGGCCCAAATGACAAGATGTGATAGGCCACCTACAGAGTGCAAAGTACCAACACTGAATCTGAGAGTGGGAAGGAGGAGAAGGCAGCTGGATGGCAAAGATTTTTGTTGTTCACTTACCTCATTTGTACCATGATTGAACCAGATTGTGTCAATCTCTTGCTCCAGAGGTCATGGGAGGAATGTGTGAGTCATACAAGGGCTCTCTCCAGAGATACAAGTGTAGAGCAGTTTCCCAGAAGGAATCAGGGTGAGGGTGTAAGGCAAACAAAAACGACAGATGCTCACTACACTGTAGAAGGTAGTATTGATACTTAAGATAGATTAAACATTACTGAGTAAGAAAATCAAGTGGCCTGTTAGCGGTATGATTCCTATTATAAAAATTGTGTGTGTGTGCCTGTGTATGCTCGTAAATAGTGATTTGAAAATTTTATTTCCCATAATGTTTACAGTGGTTGCCAGGTTAGGATTTTTTTCCTTTGTTAATTAGGCAGTTCAGAATTCCTTGAATTTTCAACATGCATATGTACTTGTTTTATAATAAAAAAAAAACTCAATAAAGCAATATAATCTATATTCAATTCAATGATTCAATTTTATATACTAAAAACATATTCTATTATGTTTCAGACAATTGTAATGAATTATCTCCTTCTGGGATATGAGAATAGATTGTGATAAGGTCAGCAGAGGGGAAATTAAAACCTAGTACAAGGGTTGTTTTGCTTTTTATGACATTCTGCTACTGTTTGTATGCCATTCTAAATGATTTTTACAGTGCGTGGTCATTGTTTATATTTCCATTTTATTGTGACCTCCTTGAGGGGAGGGGCTGGTCAGGACTCATGTTTTTATCTTGGTGCCTAGTATATTATAAGGAAGTC